AATATTGCAATGAGTCGCACTAATAAAACGTATGTGTACAAGTACATACCTTGTTTTTCAGCTGCACATATTTGATACAGTATACAAAACACCAGCACAACACCACCTATACTCTTCATTTTGCAATAGAGTCATTCACTGTAGCCAAGCTGAACAATATTTGATATTTATAGCAATGACACGGAAATTATAGTTAGTAATTATTAGCTAATTGTCTGTCGGAAATAGCATCCCACTTTTTTTCAATTATATTATAATAATATTAATTAACTGAAAAGTAAATTAGCAGTATCTAATTATTAACTGACTGTCAATTTGTATTCAAGTTACCTTTGCATATTTTAATGCTGAGCGGCATCATTTCATTTCTTGCTGCTATTGTCAACGTTGGCACAACTGTTAGCGATATCAATGATAATATACCATCTCTATTTAAAAGAACACAATAGGGATAGAGTTTGGGAGTGGGAAGCGAAGTAGCACGATGCAAATAATAACGAGGGGTTGTGTAAATATGAAAACAATCTTGTAGCACAATCTAAGGGACTTGAACATGTACTAGAGTTGTACACAATGTGTACTCGAACTTATTGAGGCAGTTGTTAACCATATATTCTTACATAATAGCAAAATCTAAAGACGGTTTATAGATACTTACTGGTAATTGACTTCTATTCTATTCTATTCTTATACTCTATCTGCATTATAATATGGCCGGGGAAAGTTGGAAAGCTATTCCCGATCACTCAATAACAAACAAATACAAAACGTCATTTCCGTGTGGTATAATGCCATGACCATTGTATACCCCCTTTTCGCACCTAATATGTAATTAGTACAAAATAATTTCATTATTTTACTTTTATAGTGCTCTTGTGACTTATCATTGCAGCGAATGCCATTAATGACGTGAGTTAGAGCGCAAATTACTGTCCGAAGTTTGCTACAAAGCAATGCATATTAAAAAACACAAAACAGTGTGAACAAAATTAGTATTTTTTTCACCGACCCGTTATTTAATGACAGGCATGTGCGCGTCTGTTAATATGCATGGACATTATATTGGCGACACAGTGTCGGCTTCCAAACAACCTTCTCAAGTTTGCCAAATACTCTAAAACTACATCACTTCCTTATGTTTTAATGCAGTTTATTATTAATTGAGAGTGGGGTGGTAATTGCTTGAGATTATTCCCAATTACCAATTTATTTAAAATTGAAAAAAAAGCGAAAATGGCTGCGTAAAACATTGTAAAAGTACATGTAAGTAACATAGTAGTTACCATTCTTTGTATTCAGTGTTATCTCTTTATTGAAATGCTTTAAGACAAGGTATCTACGCTGAATACCTCCAACCCACATGATCAGTATGCTTTTTGGGAAATCATCCAGTGCACAATTGTTGGGTAAATAATCGATGATGTAACCGCAAGTGGAACATTGTAGCTTCTCTCTGCAGATGAGCCAAGAACGGACTACGAACTGTACTATGCTAGCTATGTCGGATAGTGCCTTTTTGTGCCTCCACTTGTAAATTAGAAGGAATACACGAAACGTCTCCAGCTGATTCATACGTGATGGCAATTTACCACAAACAACCTTCTCAAGTTTGCCAAAGTAAATACTCTAAAACCACATCACTTCCTTATGTTTTAATGCAGTTTATTTATTAATTGAGAGTGGGGGTGGTAATTGCTTGAGATTATTCCAAATTACCAATTTATTTAAAATTG